TTATTTTTCAGAGTTTTACGGAAATTAAATTTCACTCGAGCGAAGGCTTGTCGTGACACTTTTCAAGACTTTAATTTCATACAACTTTGGAGGACAATTTACAAAAAACTACGGAACTCAGCAAAAAAAAATACCACAGCCATGTATATTAGCTCTATCTTATCTATCGAGGCGACTTTCGTAAACATCACGTGTCAATCAAGGAAACAGGAAGACTTGAATGACACCTTATCGGTTCGCCTAAATCAAACACGCCAAAACCGATCAAATTCAAGGTAAATTTTTGAAAAAGTGAGGCGTTCTTAACTGATCCAACTAACATAGCTAGGAAGTAGGTGCCATAGAAAAGATAACTACAGAAAAAAACTTTGCGGCCCGACCTTTACGAGAACTTTATAACTCCGTGAACTTACCTAATTTTCTCTAAATCTAAAACCGTCAGAAACATATAAGAAAGCAATTCAAATGAACTTTACTTTCAATTCAAGCGGCAAAATTTCAAATTGTTTGTTAAACTTACAATCCTCATGCGACCATTTCTTTCAAAAATTCAAACACTACAACTAGTGTTCGAATTCCCCTCGCCGATTCCACCGCAAGAAATAACCTGTGCCACCCAAGCTTCGACTCGAACATGAAGTACGAATCAAGTAACATAACTGCTTCATCTTCGCGGCAATATCACGCTGGTATTTTGATTTTCCGATCGACAAGAACGGTGATCAGGAATCGATCGGTTTGTTTACCTGGTAAACGTGACCGCTGACCAGCCGCTAAGTGAAAACAGCATAGCGCGGGGTGGGGTGGTTGGCGGGCTTATCGTCATAAGATATTCGAATGCATGCCCAAAAAGCTCTAGGACTATCAGTCTAAACAGTGAAGGCATGCTTTGTGGTACAGACAACTTTTATTTTATTCTCATAACTTTCTCCTTAAATACATTTCGTTCCAAATAGGACTAGCATCAGTTCATAGATTTAAAAACAAATCTTTACCACGTAAATAAATGTGTTTAGATAATCGAGATAACCATTGAACCTCTTGTATCGCACCGGAAATAACGTGTCTTGTCTTTGCCCAACTCTGAGAGCGTGGAGCGGCGAAGACGCGAGATACAAGTCTCGTGCCTCGCGGATTCACCATGCTCACAGGATA